CTTAGTTTGTTTATTCTGTTGATTGTTTTTGGCAAACTCCTTTGTTACACTTTTGACTGCGGCTGGTGCTGCCACTGTTGCGGCTGCCACTGCTGCTGTTGCTGCTGCTGCTGTTGCTGCAGTTGTTGCTCCAAAGGCCGGATTAACATGCCGGTACGTTGTCATCGCGGCAAATGGTTGAGGTGTCAAAATTGTGGGGTGAAAACTTGTGGCTGCTTTTACCACCGCACCACGTTTGCTTTTTGTGTGCGTTTCATATGCAGGTTATTCATGTTATTCTTTAGCTATTTTAACTCGCTGCTGCTGATGTTGCTGTTGCTTGAGTGCAGCGGGTGAAAGTTTTTGCGCATTTTTGCCACAGCGTTGAAATATGCTGCAAAGTTGCAAGGACGTCACGACAGCTTGCCTTAATAATGGCAAGCATGCAGCCAGGTGGGGTAAACAGGTGGACAGGTGGACAGGTGGCAGGTGCTGTGCAGCAGAGTAACAGGCGAGCTGGGTAAACTATTACACAACACGCATTGTGCAAGGGAGCACAACAAGAGGCGTTAGGTTCTCCCTCTCTCTCTCTTACTCTCTCCCTCACAGTCTGTCTTCTTCGTGCGCCCAAGAGAAATGCATAAAAAGCGCATTTTATTATTTCACTCGAAAGTTGTTTACGACGCCTTTTGCTCAGCTTCTTGTCCAACCTCTTATGCATTTTTAATACACTGCACGAAGAGAGAAAGGAGTATATAAGTTTGACATAGATATGATTCCCCACACAGATAGTATAAAGATTGCATAAAATATAACATATACTAAGCATCTCCGCCTTTTCCATAATAAATGGAAACAGTGCATTGAGCAGTCAGTTAGACCCTAGCATAAACTTCATGGTTGTTTTATATCTGGCGTAGCCTAGCTACCCCGTCGCGCGCATTCATTATATTGTAATATGTTTTTAACATTATTTTTATTATAAATCAACAAAATGCACTCAACGCGACTTTCAGTTGACGTCGCAACTTTTGCTCAGCTGCCAAAAGGTTGCGAGAATGAGAGAGAGAGAGAGAGAGAGGGAGAGAAAGTGGCAAAAAGATTGGACTGCGATTTATTTTATGGTATTTAAGTTATGACTGGCGCTGTAAAGATCTTAATGGTCGGCATGAATGTGGCAGATAGGAGGAAAAAGAAAACTGAAAAAAGGAAACACATAAGAAACTTGTAAGTTTTTCAAGAATTTTCTTTTGCTAAACAATTATTATTATTTCTTTAATATTCTTCATATAAATATAAATTTGTAAAAATATTAATATTTACTTTTCAGTGTCAACTAACGGAAAACTGTTTCGCTGCAGGGCGATTACAAATAAAAAAGAAGCGTTTTTCTTTTGATTTCCATTTGACTACAACTGTCAGACAGCTGCGTTTTGACTTAAGCAAAATATCTAGAGAGATGCAAATTTGTTTCAAGGATAAAAGTGAGAGGGTACAGGTTCTGCTGCTTCTCCTTCTTCTTCTTCTTCTTTTTCTGCTGGAGCGACAAGCATAAGAAAATGTCTCGGAAATTTGTCAAGTTGCGGCATCTGCATAATGATGAGAAATGCCGCATGACAGTCGAGTTTATTAATGCACACAGAAAATAGAAAAATAAGAAAAAGGGAAGAGCAAGTGATATAAAAGCGAAAGTAAAAACTTGGCCATGGAAAGTGAAAGATCTTGTCGTTCATTAAAAAGTTAGTCTAGCAATCTACGTCCGAGCTCTTTTAGGGCTGATTTGCCAAGGGAATTGCTTGAAGCGAAAATATATAAATACTACTAATATAATAATAATTTTTCGTCGACACAATGCATAACATATATTTGTATCTCTGACTTGATTAGTAAATTTGCTTGGTGGTAGTTGATGTTACCTGGTGCTGATTGATGTGCACATGTCGAGAGTCCCTTTTCAGTGAACTGTGTAAGCACAGCTGTGCCATTTGACCCATGTGTGCATGTGTGCGTGTGTGTGTGTGTGTGTGTGTGTAATACGTGCAACATCATAAAGCTGGAGTTTAGCTGCGGGCTTGAGTTGCTTTCGTGTCGGAGCAGCTCAGCTGGAAAAATTACCATTGGCCGTGTTCGGAGTGTAGTCAGTCAGGTTGAGCAATGAAAATGGAAATGAAAATTTCAGTACAAAAAATGAAAAAAACATAAATTGAAATCATCATCAGAGTGAGGGAGAGCGAGAAACAGAGAGAGAGAGGGTGAGAGAGCTCAGCTCTTTTGGCCTTTTAAATTTACGTGTTTCAAGTGGTTCGTGATCTGTGAGCCGTGAGCTGATTAATGCGGCTTGTCATATTATGCTGGGCTGATGCTGATGAATGCTGTAAGGCACTTACGGCTGTAATATAACTGTATAATGTGCAGCTGTAATGGCTTACTTTCATTGCAATTTCCTGGCTTATTGAGTGCGGCTCTTAGCTCTTAGTCTTGGCAGCAGCAGCGCGCAGTTGCATTTGCATGCTGATCTCATTAGCACCAAGCAAGCTCATCTGGCCGGGGCCAATGCACCACGTTACACGTCCGGGCAATTGCAGTACCTACGAGTATCGGGCGAGTCAGTTCTGTTGGGCAGTTGGGCCGCTTGCTGCTTGCCACTTGGCTGCCTGCATCATTTGCATGCAAATGTCGTTTGGCACTTTTAGCCACCAACAAGTCCCTCGTGTGGCCACCCCAAAAAA